CGGAGATTCGGTGACATCACAGACATCGAAGTCACCAAACTCCTCCCCCCTTCCCCAAGTGGCTTTGTCGGCTAACGAAGGGAAGGGGGGGAGGAGTCTGGTGACGTTGATGTCCGTGACGTCACCGGACTCCTCCCCCTTCCCTTTGTTAGCCGACGTAGCCACTTCGGCAGCAGCCTCTGCGCCAGTGACCACCCCCTCGATCGCCAACATCACCGATTCAACTACCACAGCATCCAGCTCAACCGTTCAAACAGGTAAGACATGACAAAAAGAAAGAGAAGGGCGCCCACCCTAGTGCAGATGGTTCTTCAGTGTTTAAAAATAGCAAAATAGAGTGCAAAGGTACTTCAAACTTCAATCAGCCTGTGTGCCATCCATATTGGCACACAGACTGATTGAAGTTTGTAAACTGATGTATCCTTGAACTACTTATTTATGCTTCTAATCGATCTACCATTGTGAGTACCTTTGCACTCTATTTTGCTATTTTTAAACAATAAAGAACCATCTGCACTAGGATGGGTGCCCTTCTCTTTCTTTTTGTCTTCCAGTTATACAGTTCCCTTAGCTGAAGTGGGGCAGCACCCCTAGCAATCCCGCATACGCACTCTTTAGTTTTATGATCCGTTTTTGGCGCTTTTGTTTTGCTTGCTAGGTAAGGCATGAGACCGAATGTTATAATTAATCGAAATTAATCGATTAAAAAAATTTCGATTCATCGAACAGGAAAATTTTAATCATTACCAGCCCTAGCGTTTATTAATGCGTTTAAGGGCACATACTTTTGCCGTAAGTTCAGATATATTGCTTGTCAATTCCCTCTTTTTCTGTGAACCTTGTGAATTAGGGGAACCCCTAATAGTTGCTTATGAGCCTCCCATAAGACACCCTCCGATACATTGCCCAAGGAATTTTCAGAAAAATAGTAGTTAATGTCTTTTTCAATGACTGCATTTACGGTCTTGTCGGTCAGGAGGGAATCGTTTAGTCTCCAAGCAGGGGCTGAGCGCGTTTTCCTCAAGATCCTCAAAGAGGCCATCACTGGGTCATGGTCCGAAAGGGTAGAGGGAAGGATAGAAGTTTTATGTAACATCTCCAGATGATGATGGCTCAACATTATGTAGTCTATCCTCGTATAAGTATTGTGCATAGGGGAAAATACAGTATAGTCCCGTTCACGGGGATGAAGCATCCGCCATGTATTTATTAATTGCATTGAATGTAATAATGTCTTAAGAGTTTTGAGACGTTTATATGCAATATGAGATCGGCCAGTGGAGGAGTCTACGGAGGGTTCAAGATGGAGATTAAAATCACCTGCGAGGACCGTAATTCCCCCCACGAAATTACGACAAAGATCGCAAAGTCTCCTGGAGGAAAATGGAGGGGCGTTTATTGGGGGCGTATACATTAGCCAGGGTAATCATTCGATAATCAATCTGCCCTTTAAGCAATAAATAGCGCCCCTCCAAATCACTCCTTGTAGACACATGTTGGAGCCTAACGTCTTTGTGAAGGCCGATCGCCACTCCTTTAGAGCTATTAGAATCAGGCATACTATAGTACCAAGTGGGAAAATAAGTAGAGGCCAAACGCACTCGGGTATGTTGAGACAGGTGGGTTTCTTGAACAAACACCACATCACAATGAAGTTGGTGTAGTTCACGTAAAAATTGGTGCCTCTTCACGGGGGTGTTGAGGCCCCTAATATTATATGTTAGTATATTAAGGTTGGCCATCGGCTTTCACAGTGGGTAGAACGTTTGCTAAACAAGTAAAGGTTAGGTGCCCATGCACCTACATACAATGGGTGGAAAAGAGGGGACATAGGGTAGACAAAATACTAAAGTAGCTCAAAAACTGACGACATAAACATAAAAACATAACACAAACAATTTGCATCTCATGCATGCGTCCGTATCCTAGGTCCATCAGGACCACCTGTAAAGGCTCAACTGAACCAGTTTCGCATGTTGCGGGGGACATGGCTGAACCGAACAGTGGCCCGTCGTCCTAGGCATCCAATCGCACTCCGGGGGGACGACTGGGGGATCTTAAGCCAGTGGGCCTTCTCCCTCGCGTAACACAAGAGCAGGCGTGCCTCCAGACCCCACGTTCGGGCTAGAGACACGCCATGCTTTCAAAATCATATTAATAAGACTTCCCTTATCATAATCCAGTGAGTAGAAATATAAATATAAAAATAATCATCTTACATTCGTGGCACTACCCCCCAAACGTTTCAGAATATAAACAGTAAACTCCATATATCTTTCAAATACAAGGGGCAATACAGCGAAGCATTTTTAGATACATCCTCATCTTTCTATCTCGTGCACTACTGGGTGTACACAATTAAGGTCAAGTTGGGCGGTGGGTCGAACCCGATAAAGATGACACCGGAGCTCAGGTAGCATCTAATATTGGTTCTACAGTTGGAACAGAATCCTGCCAATCTGGCAGCATAGGTGCACGGACAGAAAAACTGTCACAGAATTGCCCCAGGTCTTCTGGGAATCTAAGGACTGCTGTTTTTCCATTCTTCCTTGCTATCAAACAGGAAGGGAAACCCCATCTATAACTGATGTCCGCCCTCTGTAGAGCTTCCAGGAGCCGTTTGCAGAGCCCTGCGTCGCCCCAAGGTCTCCCTGGCAAGGTCTGGGTAGATATTTAAATGTGCACCCTCAAATTCCGTTAGGGGATGCTCCCGTAATTCTGCAGGATAGCCTCCTTGTCTGAAAAATAATGCAAGCGACGGATAACGTCCCGGGTTTTTCTGAGGCCAGATTGCAAGGGCGAAATGCGCGGTGTACACGATCAAACACCAGAGAAGCAGTCTGTTCTCGCCCTGAGATAGCGTTGAAAATACCTCCTCGGCTAAATCAGGGTCTCCCGTGGCTTCTGGCAAGCCACGGATACGCAGATTATTCCTGCGACCCCTATTCTCTTGGTCTTCTAAGCAGTAGGCCACAGTTCTTTGAGAGCAGGCTAAGGAATATACCTGCGACTGCAGGGCTGATATTACCTTAGCATGAGAGTCCAGGCGAGCTTCTCTTTCCTCCACATGCTGGAGCAAGTGTGTTATCTCTCCCCTGAGAGATAAGATGTCCTTCTTCAGGGGTTGCTCCAGACGGGTGAACATGGCCGTAAGTTCCTCCTTGGTCGGGAGGGCCCTCATCAGCTCGTCCATAGGGGGCGATGAGCATTGCTCCCTCTCTTTGCCTATCTCCGCTTGGGGAGGAGATGACTCTATGTCCCGTTCACGTGTGACCGATCCCGATGAGAGTTCGGATCGAGACAGAGAACTCCGTGATTAATTCTGGGAGTCCGCCGCAAGGTATCGTTTAATTGTCCACGGTTTCGGGGTTTTCGTGGCCCCGCCGTTCTTCCCCATCGTAGTCCACGAGTGTAGCTATGACCGATATGGTGAGTAGTCGGGGAGTCTGTTAAGCGGGGAGAAGTTTGCGGAGCCCACACTAGCCGCGTCTAGCTGCCATTACGTCCAGGCCACGCCCCCATCCTTGGAATGTGCTTCACTGAAGCTAGTGGGAGCACTAAGTGCCTTCAGTTGGGATGGAAAGTTCCCAGTGTTGGCATTGACGAGCAGCATCTAAAAGTGATTTGTGCATATCAGAGACAGTTACTTTACTTAGCACTTATTCATTTACAGCAGGGGCGCCCACAATTTTTCGTTCGGAGATCTACTTTTTTAATGACAAGCTCAATGAGATCTACCAATGAAAAAACACCTGCATTCAGGCCGGGGAGGGAGCATGGAGGTGCATTGAAGTCTATGGCACCGCAGCCACGACCCTTACCCGCAGTGCGATCACCCATACCCGGAATGCAGGCACATTAGTGCCTGCGTTCCAGTCCAGTGCGACCTGCAAAAATGCTGCAAGCACTATTTTTGCAGATTGCAATGGACCAGAATGTAGGCAGCCGATCGCACTGTGGGCGGGCGGGGGGCGGCGGCATGGCTGCGGTGCCGTTAACTTCAATACAACCCCACGCCCCCTCCTGCCCCTGAACGCAGAGTCGGCCGGCTTGCATTCCAGTGCATTCTAGAGGCGCCGGCGTCCTGTCCTCCCGCGGTGCTCGTGTGGCCGACGTTGCACATGGCGAGACGTGTCCTGCCCTTTTCCGTCTGTGGCGTCAGGGGGGCTCAGCTTTTCCTCTGGATGTCCGCTGCTCTCCCGGGCAGAGGCAGTGAGGGATCCGACGTGTAGTGAGGGAAGCACTTCAGCCGCGCGGGAGGGGGTTGGGGGGACGGAGCCGCTGTCACAGCAGCATGTGCGGTGAGGAGAGAAAGAGCCGCCGGCTGTCAGATCCAGGCCGAGCGTCTCTCTCTTTCTCACCTCACCGCTCGGCATGCTGCTGTGATAGCGGCTCCGTCCTCCACCGCCGACTGCAGCGCTTCGCTTGCTTCTCCTTGGATCCCCGCTGCATACAGATGGGGGAGAGCAGCGGGGATCCAGAGAAGCCCCACGGCAGGAGGACAAGACATCGCGATCCACCAGGGATCACTTTGCGATCGACTAGTAGATCGCAATCGACCTAATGGGCACCCCTGATTTACAGAATACAACCATTTCAGGTACAAATGTTACACCTACTCAGCTTATCTGGCAGGATCATCTAGTACCCAAACACTAAGTGGATTTGCAATATAGTTTTCGTTTGGGGACCTTCTTCTCAGTCACAATTTATGCTGCTGCCAGCAGGTCTATAAGGTAGTGTCTATAAGGGACATGCCACATATTCTGTTTTCGGTACAAACACCTGTCTTTGAACACGTCATACAGGTATTTTCACTTCCTTGTCACACAAATCTTTCTCTTTGTACAGTATTTGGGTGGGTCATGAGTGGCGACACTTAACGAAGACATGGAATGTGAGAAGCTGGAAGTTGATTGGCTTCTCTAATGACAATGCTGATTGCCTCATACTAAAGTTCTGTGCTGGGGACACTGCGAGAAAGTGAAGAGTGTGAGAGCATCTTCCTCTGGTAAGGACTGGAACTAGTGCATTGAGTGCTGGGAATTATACAGGGCTATTATCTTACAAGTGTGTTTGTACAAAAGTTAATGTGTGAGTGTGGCAGCATGTGCTGTACAGTCCAGCGTATTCACTGATACGTCAGAGCATGATGCTGCCTAGCAAGTAGTTTCTTCTGTGACTGCCTTTATCTACAGCTGTTTGCAGTGCTGGAATTCTCACTTGTGACTGTGATATGAAACACTAAAAGACCTTCTCTAACTATCAAGATTCACCTCCTTGTGACAGGCATCAGTCATTACTGCAAACAAAATTCATACCGGCTACATTCGTGAAAGGCTTCACTGCAAGCGTAAGGTAATTACAATAAAGACCCATCTGTAATGTTATAGAATAGATGCAGACTGTAAATCTGATTAATCATTTCTAGATTCAGTGGAACACAACTGAGTTTGTGGTATTTGCATTTTTCAAGCACATTTCTGCATTAGAGCCATTTGGTTGGGTAAATCTGAAATCAATATAGTAGGGTCAGTACACTAAGACGTATCAGTTACTTTGGCTGTACATATTGTATTTCACAATATTTTTTAATCAAAATGGTTAGCTGACATATGTATGTAAATATTCCATAAGTGTGATATTGTTATTAGCTTAAAATAGTTAATCGGAGTATGGAAACAAGAACTCTATATATAAGTAAGTTTGGCATCATGCCTTATGATTTTCTTAAAGAAAAACTCCAGTTAAAAATATTATTAACCCTTGCAGTGGGTTTACCCCTGCACTGCAACGGTTAAGTGATTGTTTTTGCCTAGGGTAAAAAATAACAAAGTGATGACAGCGCTCTCGCCAGCCTGTCTCCTGCTCTAATACATTGTTGGTATGTCCCTTGGGGTTGTCACGTCCTGTACACTATGTATAAAATGTGATAACTCAGGGACCTTAGACCGCTGCATAGGAGGGGGAGAGACTCCTGGGACTAAGAGCAAGTCAGCTCGGATCGGGTGACTATAAACTTTTTTTTTTACCCTAGCCAAAATCGCGCACTTAACCCTTGCAGTGGTAGCCCCACTGCAAGGGTTAATAAAATTTTTAACAGGAGTTCTACTTTAAAGTGTATTTCCACTTTTGCAGCACACCTACTTTATGTTTGTTACATGTTTTCATGAAACATTTCAAAAATAAATACTTAAATAAATAATTGCTTCTTGCATTTAGCTTTATACTTGTTAGCAATTCTACCTACCTTCCCTCCTATGTAATGGAAAGGAGGGGGCTGTGGGAAGTTATGTTTACTCTAATTGCCCTGTCTGTACTGTGCTGACTGATGTCATTATCAGTTGTAAACTAGCTCTGAACATGGTGTGTCCTCCAGTTTGTCCCTCTACCTTCATTTTCAAACTGCTCAGAGTAGCTTGGAATCTGCACAAAGGTCTTCACCAAAGAAACAGGTCAAAGGTAAGAAATATATCTTTTAAAAATATTTTTCGGTATGCTGTGTGAATGGAAACACATAACAAGAATAAAGTGGGATTTTCTCAAATTTGACTGCAAAAGTGATAAAACAAGCAGTTTTTTGTTAATCTGTTCTAAAGTTTTTCACCTAGTGATCTTGCTGGTAACAGAATTCTTTCAGATAGGCAACCCAATAGCCAATTGAAGAAGCTTGCAGGGCAGGCTGACAACATTGCTGCTGATTGCATTGCAGTAGCTTAGCATTGTTAGCCTGACATGCAAGTTTCTTCAGTTGGCTTTTGGGCAGCCTATCTAATAGACCTGATAAACAGGCCTATAGTCAACTAAAGGCGTACACATAGCAGACTGACAATGCTCCTGTGGTAGTAAACGACTAACACAAAATTTAAATTATGGGCCCCCAGGAGTTGCTTGCCAGAATGTACTAGTATGCGCATCATATTGGCACATTCTGACAGACGTACCTTGCAGGCAGGGGCGGAACTACCGCCATAGTGACCCATGCGGGCCAGAAGGGGGCCCGGTCGGGAGCAGGAGGGAGATTTAGGGGTCCTTAATTTCCGTGGGGCCGCAAGTCAAACACTGCACCGCCGCACGGAACCTAAGGACACTCACCTGCAATCCTCTCCCCTGTCACAGTCACAGTGCAGAGCAGGGGAGGGCGGAGTTATCTCCTGTCTGTGTTCGTCTGGAGAAGCAGCGGAGTAGGTGTGTGATCTTCACTGCTGCTGGGGCTGCTGACAGGTAAGGGGGGTCGAGGGGGACAGAGACTGAAGACTCTGGGGTCTATTCACTAAGCTGCCGTAGGCTGGCTGGTACGGCTGATTTCAGCCGTACATCGGCTTGCTTCACATGGCTTTGGGTCAGCCGAACATGTTCAGCATGTTCGGCCGACCCGAAGTGCAGAAGGAGGTCGACTCAGCCAATCCAACATCTGGATCGGCTGAGCCGACCCTTCGACAGGCTACTCACTGCTGTTCGGGCTATTCTTATAGATGCCGAACAGCAGTGAGTGAATTGCCGAATGCCGCTGAGCAGCATTTGGCTCGGCTGTTCTGCTCGGTCCCTCAGAGGGACCGAGCAGAACAGAAAAAGAGTTTAAAAAGTTTACAAAAAGTTAATAGAAAACGATTGTGCAGAGCTAGCAGTGACAGCTAGCTCCGCCCAATAGTTTCCTATTGTCCGTTAGTTTATTATTGGCTATTGCAAATTGAAATAGCCAATAGTAATGTAGCAATGTATTTCAATGGGAATTATTTTTTTTTTCTCTATTCTGACATCGCTCTGTGGCGCCAGGGAGAGTTAGCTGTTTGGAGATCAGTGTCCCGGGTTAGCAGGTAACCAGGGATGCTGATCTCTCTGCAAGTGGCCGGAGCCAGCCGCCCAGCTGTCAGAAGCAGGCTGTCTGCCGAGCCGATGCATATGTGTTCGGCTCGACTGTTGTGAATAGCCCGTACAGCACCCCTTCGGTACTGAACCGAAGGGGTCCTGGGGCCGAAGCTAGCCGAAGTATCGGCCGAAGCTACGGCTAGATCCTTCGGCAGCTTCGTGAATAGACCCCTCTGAGTGGGGGGGGGGACAGGGACTGAAGACTCTGTTCTCCTTAGATCCATAGAGCTGCAGGAGCCATTAACACTGGCCGCGGCTCATTCATATCCTGATTACGGTATTTGCATATTAATGGGCCGTGGTATTAATATGCAAATCCCGCCATGCATCATTAATATGCAAATCGCCCTTCCCACTTCAAGGCCACTGAATGAGGGGGGTGGGACAGGGGGGAGTCAGGTCCTAAAGTTGCAGAATAGAGAAAGCAGAGTTTCGGCTTTGTTCACACCATATACAGTGCGGCTAGCTGCTGGAATGCACTGTATCGCATAGTAAACTCCCCTGTGCGTGCTGGGGCGGGAAGGGGTGTGGTAGTGCATTGAAGTCAATGGCACTGCTGCCACGCCCCCTGCCCGCAGTGCCACATTAGTGCCTGTGTTGCGGTCCAGTGCGATCGGAAAAAATGGTGCATGCACCAGAACACAGGGGGGAGTTTACTATGCCATACAGTGCGTTCCAGCAGCTAAACACACTGGAAAGCACTGTATGTGGTGTGAACAAGCCCTTAGAATTGGCCGGTGGAAGAGAGGTGAGATGCTGTGCCTCCACACTGCCCACTCTGTGTACACGCCCACTGTCACCCTCTCTGTGCTCCCACCTACGCTTCCACCCACTCTGTGCACCCACCCACACTGCCACCCACTCTGTGCACCCAACAGTCTGTGTACCCGCCTACACTGTCACTCACACTGTCACCCTCTCTGTGTACCCGCCCACACTGCCACCCACTCTGTGCACCCCCCCACACTGCCCCCCCCTCTGTGTCCCCGCCCACACTGTCCCCCTCTCTGTGCACCCGTCCACACTGCCACCCACTCTGTGCACCCCCCCACACTGCCCCCCCCTCTGTGTCCCCGCCCACACTGTCCCCCTCTCTGTGCACCCGTCCACACTGCCACCCACTCTGTGCACCCCCCCACACTGCCCCCCCCTCTGTGTCCCCGCCCACACTGTCCCCCTCTCTGTGCACCCGTCCACACTGCCACCCACTCTGTGCACCCCCCCACACTGCCCCCCCCTCTGTGTCCCCGCCCACACTGTCCCCCTCTCTGTGCACCCGTCCACACTGCCACCCACTCTGTGCACCCCCCCACACTGCCCCCCCCTCTGTGTCCCCGCCCACACTGTCCCCCACTCTGCACCCACCCACACTGCCACCCACTCTGTGTGGCCACCCACACTGTCACCCACTCTGTGTACCTGCCCACACTGTCACCCACTCTGTGTACCCGCCCACACTGTCACCCACTCTGTGTACCCGCCCACACTGTCACTCACTCTGTGCACCCACCCACATCACCACCCACTTTGTGCATTCACCCATAATGCCCATCAATTCTGTGCACCCACATCTCCCATCCACTCTGCATCCACACTGCTGATACTGTGCACCCACACCACCAACACTGCACCCACTTTGTAACCCCACTTTTCCCAGCTTCACTGGTGTAACTGTTTTTTTTAAGTTGTATTTACACTGCCGCACCAAAGAAATGAGGGAAAGTGTGTTATATTGCACTGTATAATCCTTCTGTGGTGTGGCAGTGTAATTATAACTTTAAATAACATTGCCACAGCAGTGAAGCCGGGGAAAGTGGGGTTACAAATGATAAACCCCAGTGGTATATTAAGTTATAATTATAACCCCCCTTGTGTAATTGTAAATCCCATTTTCCCAGCTTTATTGGTGGCACTGTCAAAGAATTAGGCCTCGTTACACATAACGTTCTGGCATTCCTGCAGCAGAAACATACAGATTATGACAGGAATGTCAGGTGTCCCACTTAGATGTGGCCGCTGTACCCACTGAAGTTAATGACTGGGTGACAGCGGCCATATTTGTAAGCGGCAGTCCGCACGTAATGTGCGTGATATGATTAAATGAAGTTTTGAATAGATCACTGTCTGTGGACGCATGTATCC